TCACGTTCTTCACGAAGTGTTTGAATGGTTACTCCCGCGTCATTTTGCATCTTTGTAAGGTGTTCCAGAGTCTCGCCTAGCGATTCCATACGCTTGACCATCTTGTCCACATCGGACACTCCAGTGGCGTCTTTAATAATGGCGAACATGTCTTCATAAGATTTTATTCGTGCAAGTTGATCCTCAGTTGGGCCAAGCAGGGAGAGACTGTCGGCATTTTCGCCGCTCGCACCTTCACCAGACGCCGCAGAGACCTAAAAATGGACACATAAATATCAGTAAGGAATGCCTCACACCTTAGCTATTTTTCCCAAATACAATCTACTCAACGGTGTGAGTCTGGTAGCTGAAAGTTATTGTGGAGATATGAAAGGTAGGTTAATCTAATTTTTATAGCAGCATTTATTCATTTGAGAGGGACGATTCGCTTAGAATCGCTGGCTAAAAATCCTTGTAAGCACGACCTGCAAAGGCGAAATTTTTGACGAATGGTGAGCTTTCCGCACGCTTGGTACCAGTCTTAACTAATTCTTAGTTCACTTTGGCAAGAAGACAAATTACGGAAGTAGTCTGGAAGAGTTTTAGTTATTTGTTGGGGGAGTGACAACTGTATGTTCTGAGGATGCCAGAGAAAGCATTAGAATTAGTCCTCATCAAAAACTTGTTTCCCGCCCATGACAGTTACTAGACGACTACGGAATGCGCGGCCTAACAGCATGCAAACAATACTGTTTAAAAAAAGTAAGCCGGTAACTTCAGAATTGGTTGCTGATGCTAGGCTAAACCGTGAAAATTGCACTCCTTTCATGCACTTTGTTCAAAATAAGACATAAAATGAACAGCAAGACTTACAGGTACACAAGGTTAGAGATCAGTTAGCCTAGCGTAACATGAACAACCAGCGTGCATGAGCTTTCACTTCAGTCGCATCAATCACAAGTATTTTTTCTGTATTATCATCAAAGTCCTAGTTCAGTGGCATAGTTGGCCCATTACCAAAAGCTTTTAAACGACTTGCTAGAGGTCATTTCAAAAAGAACCATGACAAGCTCATTTTGAACTGTCATAAATAGTTCCGTTCTTCACTTTTTCAGCGTGGTAGTGTGTTTTAAATCCGTGAAGCAGTACTCTATTCCATTGAAGCTGGGGTTTGCTGGTTGATATGCAAAACTTTGACAAAAAAATATCTGGATGTTTCTTCGTGCACCACACGGAAGTAAATACCATTGCTTAAAAGTATAACTCGACACAGACAAAAGCCTCTAACTAGATGCGGTCAAAAAATTGATAAGAAGGGAAGTGTGATGGGCAAAGAGCCTCATAGCAGTTCCCTTCGATTCAAAATGTCCAGTTGTCTAGGATACTGCGAAATTGAGCAACCGAAGTGTGCTCTACTTACTGGCCTCACCAGAATCCCGAGGACAAAATGCAGATAGCGGCAAGTAACAAAATCTGGCTAAAAAGTTTTCAAAGAGTGCATAGGCCTGAAGATCCACGCGAAAATTAGTGATTAAAAGACTATATATAGAGAAGCCTAGTCAAGTAAAGGCAACTTTCCGATGGTTATTAAGAAACTATTAACATTTTGGTTTACCAGCCTGCGTGAGCTTATCAGTTGGCCTAGTATGCACATTCCCTCAGGACCCAGCCGAAATTTCCCCATACGACTTTTGGGAAATCTTACGAACTATTACATAATAATTAGACAGTTAGGAGTTATAATTAAGTACGCGTTTCATATGTTCTCAAAAGTATCGGGTTTGTCGAAATTGTACGACCCCACACCATTCAGAAGCGCTTCCGAAAATATCGCTTTCAATAGAGTGCGTATATGGAGCAAACTTATTGAAAAAGTCTCCTACAGGAAACCATTAGCTTGTGCTGAGTACTATGGAGATGATGACTGTAAGATATGTCCGATTTAAGCAGGTTTTATAACACACTCTTTTAAGAGCTTTTAAAAGCTTTAATTTGTTTGTAGATATGAATTTTGCTTTTATAAGAAAACTAGTTTATATTTTTGTGTTCCCAACTGAACCGTTATACCGGCTAAATCTCCATTCTAAAGTACAGTTTTAGAAGCCAAGAGTAGCCAAATACCGCGAGGCCTTATTTTGGATAGAAATTTATCTCTGAAACTGTGGGACCAAAACGGCTACATCAACACATTTTGTCTGAACATCACAAGACGCAATGTCTTCCTCCATTTGCTAACATAGCAAGGAAGGATGACTGAGGCTGACACCTATGTAACGTCTTGGGTGATGGTTCAACCATCGATTCTGACGTTGTCCACGTATATTCTCCAAACGGGTTGGTGCAAGGAAGGCAAATTGCGTAGGGGTTAGTTTTAAGTGAATTTAGTTGTCGCGCAACGTCTACCACACTCTCTACCGTCACTCCCTGATCTGGCGTAATGCCAGAATTAAGAACACCAAAACTTTTGGGGGATCGGCGGCCCGCTTTCTCCAATACAGGCTAACATACTGCTTTAAGGGGTAGTAGACTTCGTGCCCGATCTACCGCACTACCTACCCTCAACACAGTCGAAAAAACCTGCACGCTACCCGCATCTAGGGACGATGGGACTAACTTCTTAACACACTCGTCTTACTTGAACGTACTTATCTGCAGCTGTCTATCCGACAACTCAGTGATAAAAGGCACTTCAATACCAGATAAGTGGAGCATTTTATCGCTAAATGCTGCAGAGCCCTTAACTGCATATAGGAAATCGACCCATAGTATGCACTCCTAAGGTATATCGGGACAAATACTAAGCTTATGGGTCAAAAAACGTTATTTAATAATGTCCCACTTTCTACCATGATTTACGTCCTAAGTTAGTGCTATTAGTTGTTTTTGGGCTGACTTCAGACTTACTACAATAGCTAATTCTAGCTCAGAGATTACGGAACTTCTCTTGTCTAATAAGGCAGCAACCTTCTCTAGAGTTAACTGAGCATGGCAACGTAGTCTTTCCTAGCATGAGCTATCCGTAACTAGGGATGAAAAGATTAACTGCTTAACATATTTGTCTAACTCAAGTATGTTGATCTCCAGCCATCTTCCGAGGGGGATCAGGCGAAGCGCCCTGGGTTAGTTGCTAATGACAAGCTTCAGTCTGACGTATTTAATTCGAATATTTTAAAATGGTCTTCAAGCGAATCATATATTATTATAAATGGGTTAGACTTTGATATGGACAATATATGCTTACTGATTTGAACGAAACAAATGACTGTTTCCCAAAATTTTATCCGGCACTCGCTACAAGCATGTCATTATTTTAGAATACCGTGCTTCGGTTTGACCAATTGCAATCAGGAGAAACCATTCACAAACCGAAAGCCTCGGACATGCAAATGAAGACTAAATGTTGGTCTTTAGTACTACTCACCACAATTACCTTTGTCGGAAAAGTAATTTAAATACGTAAATAAATGAAGAGTGAGGAGACTTTGTAGGAAGCGCCAAGTAGAATAAGTTCGGTTAATGCTACAAAATTGTAAACAATAACATTTCGTAATTCGGTGGCCGGCTGAGTCGCTATTTCAAACGGTGGCCGAAAAGACCGTTTTAGCTGACTCCATAGTTAAGCGTGCCACAGCAATTACTATTAGTGGCATTGCGGTGAGTTATATGACGTTTAAGTCAGTCATAAGCCAAACAATTTTTCACCTTTGAACTAGCTACTTAACAGAAAGAAATTTAGTTCAGCAGCCTCCTCATTGATTCGTCGTCTATCCAAACCACTGTCTTGATTACGAGATAGATAAATAACCTGGTAAAAGATAAATCAATCAATGCTTCAAATAAACTGCCGAAAATATCAGAGTGAAGGCGCCTGACCATGGTAACACGGACTAACCTCTAGGCGTGAAATTTCTCAGAAGGAATATAGAAGATCAGACACCGAAGCTTACAAAGCCCTGAGACTATCTGTCTGCGGGAAAGCATATGGTTACAAAATAGCTTTTCCCTTCTAGCGCACGCTTCCATTCTAAGGGATAGACCAAACTAGTGTACACTGGGCACATGTTAAAGTCTCGTTCGTTGGACCTAGCGTGTAAACAGTAGCGTAAACAGTCAAAGGACGATACCAACGGTTGGCATTCCAAAGATTTATCTAGTCCATATCAGTCCTGTCGAATATCATATAACGGGAAGTATTTTACTCGTAGAATTTCTCCCTCAAGGATTTTCAGGCAAAAAATATAGTCATGCTATTTTAGGCAAAAATTGTAAAATTCTAATCACTTGTGATAGAAGAAAAAAGAAGAAATCTCAGGCTGAGCTATGGTTCGCATCCACCTTAGTTTGGTCGAACTCTAAGAATAAGAACATGTGCTAACGAGAGAGTTTTCAGTAATTATAGTCCTCTTATAAAACTATTGCAATCTGTTTTGGAGCAACTGCTAACTTTATACTAAGATTATATCTTGCACTAAAGTTCAAGGTTGGCAGCTGAACTTACACCACAATTCACTCATGGGTTTTGTTTGCATTCAAAATAACAATTAATATTACCATGTGACAACAGTTTTGGAAAAAAACCTTTGAGAGCAGCTCTTAATTTTAACGCGAGGAACACGTTAGTAAATATAATCTTAAGCAATGGGAGTAACTTACAACTCTTTTGTCATTTTTGTCTACTACAGATTTTTTGCCTTCAACGACTCTTCTCATTGAACTGAGTTCATTTTCTCTCCGCTTTCTTTCGGCTTTAGTCACGTCCTCCTGATACCGCATTTCCTGCATTGCTGCATCTTTAGCAAGCACGGCGTCAGCATACATGGTCTGTAGAGTTGCAACCTCAGCTTGACTTTTTTTGATCTCTAATTCCATATTTTCTAGGCTTTTAGGAAATGCTAATTGTTCCTGGTGACCGTTAGAAAGAAAAATGACTATACCTCTTCGAGTCTATTCCGTATTTGTTCATAAGTACTTTGAATGTGTTCAGCCTCTTGACACTTAAGTTTAGCCTTGTCCAATCGATTTTCAAGCTCACGCAGCTGCTTTCCGACCTCGGAATTCTTCATGACGTTGTCCATTCGGACCTTCGTAGCGTAGGTTTCGCAATACTGCCTCTTTAAATCATTTAAATGCTCAAGTTTTTTCTGTGATTGATGTTTCATGGCGTTGAGCCGCTTCATGGCATCACAAGTGCGGTAATCCATTGTATCGAGCGCTTCCTAAAAACTCTAATGGGGTTAAAATCAAGTTACTCCGCTTGTTTTATTACTAAGCCTTGCTCGTTCTTCCGGTTTGTTTTGAAATACGTGATTAATTATGTGATCATCTGCCTGACACATTCAGCAAAAAGAAAATATTACAGCCAGTTTGTCCCGAAGAACGGTTCTTAGAGTGTTATTTTCAAGTCTCATCTCGACGATTTTTTTCTTTCCGTCCGTTAGTGCTTGCAAAGCGCTTTCATAGTACGCTTTCCTGTCACCCTCTAAAAAAATTGGTGGTACACTAAAAACGAACCGAGAAGTGTTAATTTTGCTTTCACATCCTCAACTTTCTCATTTAGGACGGATATTAAGGTCTTTATATTCTTTTGGTCCTTGGCGTCTTTTCCGGACATTTTTAGGTTACGCGCTCTACGCGTCCCAATAACAACGCGGCTGTAGGTTGTCTTTACACAATTTATTGAAGTAAACAAAGACTAGAGTCTTTCAGTGGAATTAACAGTTTGGAACTTAATCAGCAATTTTTACCTTAACTGTATACTTGAGAATGTATGTGAGTGAATAAAATGGCTAACTAGCGCACACAACGACGGAAACCAGTTCATAATAAGCGTGTATAATAACATACAGAAAACGGAAATACAACATATAAGTAGAGATGTGAAGGCAGAACCACATATACGAATTCCCAAAATAATAAACAACAAGTCGAACATATTTGCGCAACAGTACACTTTCATGGATTACGAGAGACGATATGAGCTTGTAGTTTCTAAGCCGTGAGTGTGCTATGAGCACCACAATGATCTGGTAGAATCCGGGTTTTTTGAAAGGATAGGAATCAACAGAACGAGGGCTTCATTTTGCATGGAAACTTGAGAATCTGTCTCAGGCGCTAGTGGCCACTGGCAAAGCCAGATTTAGTGCCGACCGCGTCCAATCAAGCCTAATTAAGGGTATTTGTGAGCGAGAGAGTTCGAAAGACAGATTGGTGGCAGCTGCTTGGATAGCGAGTTCAGGCAGTGTGTATTTGGTGTGTTGGATTAGCTGCGGTGGTCTTTGCGTATAGTGTTCATTGCTGAGTCGGTTTAAGGGTGGCGTTTTCTAGTTGCCCTGAGTAGCCGCGACAGCCTGGGCGCACCTGTGTGTGAGTGGAATTCGGTCAAGGGTCTGCAGTGGACGCTAAACGAGGGAGCTAAACAGCATTTTTGGTTGTCCATCACACGTTTGATAACCAGTAATCTCTTAAATCAATAGTAAAACATAATATATACGACCAATATATGCGTTGCCGAAAGAATAACTCAAGGGCCCAAGCAGATGGTCTTTCAACATGCAAGCTTTCTGATATGTTTTATATACAGGGTCTCCCAAAAATGTATACATATTTTACATAATGGTAAAATTAGTGTTTGTTATAATTTTAGTATTTAAAAAATGTAAAAATATTTACAAGTATCATTTTATGGCTTTTTCACTGAATCTTCTCAAACTGACGCCCATTTTGATTATGACACTGCTGACAACGCAAAGCAATGTAATCGCACACAGTACGAAACAATTCCCTTGGTAGTGGGATGCATTAATGTTCAATGGCTTTTCTCAATTCAGCCACTGTTGCAATAGTCAGGATGTAGTGAAAAAACAATACAATGATACTTGTTAATATTTCTACTTCATCGAAATAATAAAATTATAATGGACACCAAGTTACTAATTATTTAAAATGTGCATACATTTTACTTGATGACTTCCATATCTATACTCCTTTGGGAGTTCTAACTAAATCTGCGCATTCGTTCAAAAACTAAGAAATTGTTTTGACATAATTGTAACTCGTAGGAAAACGTAAGATTTTCTGTACCCGAAAGTAAATGAGAACAAAACAGCCGATATCGAGTCGAAGCCTCATAGTAATTCTGTCCAGTTCCTCGGAAACTTGCTTATTGGGTGATGTTTGGATAGCTTCAGGGCCAAGAACAGCTCCGGTCAGCATTTTGAATACTGACACAACATATTCAGTTCCATTATTCATACAAAGACTTTGATAAGTTTATTGGAGCAACCACACAGCGTGTCATTTCTGAAGCACGACCGACATCCTCGAGCAACAGATTACTTGAAATGGTCTAGAATCCCTGAGGAAAGACGAGGTTACGCGCAGTTATAGGATAAATGTATGCATATATTTCAGAATAACGGGATTTTCAAGGTAAGTTAATTTATTTATTGATTGCCAGTTTACAGGCATGGTCAAAACAGATATTCAGTAAAGAATGGATCTGACAGTGAAAAAATACTCCCGAATCATTCTCTCTAGCGTATTTAGGAGAAAAAAAAACTGCAGCTCGTTGAATTTTGGGAGGGATAAGGGTTTACACATGAACACCGTGTTGTCAATCTCACTTGATTTTTACAGTTTCAGTATTCTGCACCAGGGGATTGTGTGTCGACTGATGGTTGCTCACTGTCGGCTGAAGGATTAGCTGCAGATTCATTACCATTGCCCTAAACATGAAGCCCAGCACAGGACTCAGAATCCGCAAACGCCATAAAAGTGGAAGAGACATTCCATCGAGTAAGCACTAAAAATTCATTAAAGTTGACTTGACTGTTGAAAAGTATAAATAGTTCTCTTTAACTAGGGCTAGCTTTGCGGAGTTTTAATAGTTCTGGTAGCTTATTCCAAATTGCTATGGCATTTACTGATAAAAATTGGCGATATCCAACTGTGCGTGCCATAGGAAATAATAAAACAAATCTCGATGACTGGTGCACTGAGAGTGGTCGAGCTGCCACAGAGTACTAAGGGCATTAAAGGCACGATCATTTAAAAATTTAAACAATAAAAATAGTCCTTTCTATAATCTGCGAAACCACAAGAACTCGAGGTTAGTAAGTTTACAATGCTGTTGTTAGGCAGGTTACGGTGTTGTGAAGAGAAAATTCTTTTATTAAAGAAATTTTGGGCCGATTCTATTTTTTCCGTTCACGAAAGCGCATAAGGCTAAATAGAAACGAGCAGTATTCCAGACCAGGTCTTCCATATATATTATAAAAAAACTGGTTCTAATCTTGATGTTTTTAAAATTTCTGAGAATAAATTCGGTAGTTCGGCGTGCTTTTGAGACAATTAGGACAGTGTGTTCTGACAGAGTAAGATTATCAGAATATGATATGCCCAGATCCTTACTAACTCCGGGCACATTTATTTCATGACAGTCTATACTTAGTTCAGGTTGCTGATAGTCGCCATAA